GAACAAAATAGTCACGGGAAGAAATTTAGCATCGATGGAAGGATATTTCGCTAGTAATTATGCCGCTGATATATCGTCGCTGAAACAGCAGACGCGTAATACGTTTAGCATAATACGTGACGAGTGAAATCCAATTAAGTGAAAAGAGCTCTTCTTTGTTTATAAACGCCTCTGACAGAGTAATTTTAGGAAATTACTTGATTTTTATTAAATGTACTTTCAAAAATATTTTGGGTAAATTGTATTCATTCCTCTACCATTAATTTGTTATTTTACATTTGACAGATAATTAGGTATATTTACTCATCCATAATCGGTTTGATTAAATAAGTTATTCGTGTCAACAAATGTTTTGATAATCAGTATTATGAAATTATCTCTCTATAAACCGAATTCAATTTATGATATATAAATACATAATCAGTTTGATAATTGTTAGGGGTGTGCGGGTACCCGAGCAAATTTATGTGCTGGCTTTCAGGAACCTACCCGAACCCCAAACAGAAATTTCCGCCCCGAAGTCAACCCCAATTTTCCGCATACTCCTAATAATCATGGAGGATCATCAGAATATCCTTTACTACTTACAAATATTTGGTGTTTTCATAAAATCTAAAGGAAAATTTACGAGACTAGCTGAGTACATAAGTACGAATTATACCGACCGCAAATTTTATGGGGCTGCCGGTTCGGGGGTTAATTTCGTTGTATAACGACTTGCCAGGAGATGTTGCGGTCTGTGTTGCTTGGAACGTTTCCCTTGGCACGCAGAATGTTTAGCAATTATTCTTTTTGTCGTCAGCGTGATTTGCGCGCCGAGAAAATGCGTTTCCATTAGTTGCACGTCAATTTAATATTGTGTAACTGTTCGCGGTTGAATACTAATTAAAGCTACGAAGCAAGAACAAAGTTGAAACTATGTGAGAATTATGAAATATATTTACCTCTTGCAGAATTATAGAATTGCCGTGAATTGAATAAAAATAAATAAGAAAAAAGAAGGAAAAAAATCAGGTTTCGATTGTGTAGCTAGGAGAAAACAGCGCAAACAGCTGCATAGCTTGATTCGTTTCTTCTTTTTCGGTATCGTATGCGAGAGACAGGATAAAATAAGGGGGTTGTTGAAGAGGGTGGACGTCAGGGTGTGGAACATCGAAGCGGTAACGCCCGTCGAAAGGTTTCGTATACCAAGCCTCGTCCTTGCAATAAGGATCCAAGGCATCAGAAACCCTCCACCCCTCTTCAGCTAGCTCGCTGAACCTTTCTCCTCCCTTCTCACTCTCAGACGGAATGTTTTGCATTTTAAGAAGGTGTCGGATATCCTTTGCGCTATCCGAAGACAGCGCCTCCCTCGTCGGCCGGCATCGGGAAACCCGGGATGCTGTAGAAACGATGGAGCAAGAGGTGGAAAGCTTCCCCTGGAATCCAAAGTAATTCACGAGCCTGTATTACGTGCTAGAACACTCTCGCAAGGATGTCCCGGAAAATCAGGCAGCTTCCTTGATGATCCTAGCAATCCCCAACCATGTCGTTTTCTGGTTATGTTTACAAAAACAAATGTTTTTCATTTTTTTTTTTTTTTTTGTTTCAACAAAACACCAGCCATTTTGTATTAGGAATATCCATGAATCACAAGTGCTATTTTGAAATACTTTTCTGTCGTGAATAATTAAAAATAGTGAAACGTGTTTGAAAATCAGTAGTATAGGTCAATGAAAACTGCGACGAGGCGTTTATTTCTATTATATCACTGAATCAATGTTCAAGGGAGGATGCGACTATTGATTATCAAATAAATTGCAACTCGGCTATTAAAATTCGTCTGTCCGGTAAAGAATAAATACTTATATAATTATATAATTTATTTTCCAGACAGTTCCATAAATAAAACGCTAAAATTGAATGACTAATTGTAAGTAGAAATAATAAAGGCTAACAATGGACTGTTACCACTAAACTGAAATAGCACTATTAAAAGGAATTGGATTTTCATCGAGGATGTCACCATATACATTGATTTAATGATTAAATTTTAATGCAATTCTATCGCATTTTCATTTCAAGGCAATTGCTCTTATATTTTCTGACCTTCAATTATCTACATAATTAGATTTAATAAAATAAATTCAGTTCAATTGATTTCTGTATGAATTCTTGGAAAGAGGTGGCAAAGAACATTCCCTTCGAGAACAGTGGAGGATGGAGAATCTCATGGTCATTCCACAGGAACAGTCGATGGGTAGAGTAGAATTTAATCGAGTCCTTATTTACTGGGGTTCCAGCTCAAAGAAGCCACCAGATGAAACCGATGTGGACTCGTTCGGTAAACTTTGTTTTCTCTACCATTGAAAACCGGAACACGCTGGCCGTACGTTACATTCGTGGAATACCTTGAATTATCACCGGTTACAGATCTCTTCTCTGTTGTCGGGGTAAAAAAGCTCTTCGCAATATTCGATTGGTGAAACAAGATCGGACAAAAAAAGGGGGAGAGGTTGAAAGGGGATGATAGTGGAAACTGTAGGGATTAAAATCTCGTAGCAAAGGCATCTCTAATTGAGGATAAAGGAAGAACACGTTTCGCTACATCGTTCTCTATATTTACACGTGAGATCGTTTGAATATCTTGGGAATTGCCTTGGATAATACGTTCGTGTGAACAATTCCTGAAAGCTGGAACACGAAATTCGTGTTTAATCTGTGCCTCTTCTTTTTCAAATAATCTCGTTTGGACTTCTGCGAACCCACTCGTTACTTACCTTGATTGCCTGAAGGAATGTTATACGTTGCATTTTAACTAGGGACGTGTGGCTACTCGAAAATTTCTTCGAGTACCCGCAATTTCGGGAGCCGAATATCAGCTTGGAACTTGAACTATCCTCGGGACCCGGCCACGGCTCGGGTATCCGTGTACCTCTAAATATTATTCGTTACATTTTAACCCAATACCAATAAAAACAAATGATGTATAAAATAAACTCTCCATCGCGTGACAAAAATCTATGGAAAAAGAAATCTGAGAGGAGATCTACGAGGGGAGTTTATCCAATTTATATCGGATCGGAGAACGTTTGGATATTTCCACATTTTCTCGCAAAATATATAGTGGAAACGCGTTGTTCCTCGGATATACTCGTGTTTCAGTTTCATTCAACAAACAGAAGCATCGCGAAAACAAATTTCCGGGAAATCTAGTGGAACTAGAGCGCCGGCATTTGACTATTAAATTCATTGACACAAACTGCGAAGGATGTATCCTGTTTTGCACATATATAACGAATACGGTATTTCTGAAAAAAGAAGTGTGTTAGACACTTGTTTAGCGTTCGAAGACAGTGGAAAATGAAAGCAATTTTAACAGAGTGGAGAAAATCAATGGAAGCGGTGAGATAAAAAGGAAGAGGGTTCAAAGGAATGCACTTTGTTCTGCGAAGCAATTCAAGGAGGATGTTTATTTAAATTTTCAGGTAATTTACATCCACTTGCCACGCTGTATCACTTTTCTTCTTCCTTTTTTTCCACTTCCATTCCCTGTGTCGAATACGCTCTCGTTTAAATTGTGATATTTGTTTTCACGCCATCAGCACCTTTTCATTGGTATGAATAAATTTTATTACTTTATCTTTATTGAGAGATTCAATTAAAACGAAACGTTTAAGAGGTGACGCAAGGAAATTAAAATATGTCTAATAACATAAATAATTTACCATGTATCTCTCGACATCAAAGATAAGCTTTCACGGTCTCTAAATAAAACATGTTCGGAAGAATCTTAAAGGATCAAGAAAATCAAGCTTCCTGGTCGCTGTTGGAGGCAACGAGATAGGGAGCCCATGTAATTCCCCCTGGAATGAGAAGGGTGAAAGTTGCTTCCTGAAACCATTCGACGGAGAATCTTTATTTAAATTTTAAAGCTCCTTACTATCTACGTGCTTCTGCATCGCTCTTCTTATAGGGTCGATAATAAAATCAGATATTTTTCCTTTACAATATCCAATGTTCGGTGTTACATTTTGCAGTTAAAAAATATTGAAAATTTTCACACGTAATTACAGTCATTTATCGTTCCAGAAGTGACCTAGATTTTTAACTAGAATTTTTTTTTGTTTATTTAAGATTCAATTTTCCACAGCTGCGATTTAATTCGTTCTTGCGACACATACAGATTTTCCGCTGATCGTATGCTATTCGAAACACCAATCGATCACGCGAGGGGTTGTAAAGCAGTAAAAAAATATTGCCCTCTTCCTTTTGTTCCTTTAATTCAAGGAACTTTATCGAATTTCCATAAAATATCGCTGGCATTCGTCTTCATTCTTTACGCGGTAGCAAGCCACGTTCACGACGAAGGTGCACAGTTGTTTTGAAACGAAACGCGGCTTTTAAAGCGCCGTTGTTTCGCCTGCTTGTCTTTAATCGAGCATCTTGACTGTAATTTGCGCTTAATTGGGCCGACATCGAGGACGTAAATCAAAACTCGCGAGATTATTTAGCGCTCGTTAGGAGGAAAAGAGTTTGCCGGAGGAAAACTATGGAACGGAAACTGTTCAAAATTAAGTTTCTTTCGTAAGTTATTTCTTCGTGAATTTATATTTAAGCGAGCGCCCTTCCACCGTTAAATTTTTAACCTTTTATCTGAGAATCTAATTCACCAAAAATGCATTCTGTCAAAGGTATTGTGACGAGTTAATTCGTCATGCCCCGTTAAAAAGTTAAATAAAAACTCTCATAGGTTAAAAATGGAATATTAAAAAAGGATAGAAATTTTGACACTGTGTATTTTAGTTATTTTACGAAACAGATATATTAGCCCACTTATTCGATGGGTAAACAAATATTTCGATTGAGCCTATCATCGCTTTGTAGAACCGGCGAGGCGTGTGTTCGCCAAACATTGGCCGAGATTTATAGACGAGGAGCAGTTATCGATCGGTGTTCACTGCTTGTATCGCTAGTAATTGGAACATTTATGAGCCAATCAATCACTTTTCTCGTTGCAGTTCCCCCTATGCTCTGGATACCGCATCAATTGGTCGGCGCACCCTTGGGTTACGCCGTCACGTTGGAATGCCACACCGAGGCCCATCCGACTTCTTTGAATTACTGGACCAGAGAAGATGGCGTGATGATTCATGAAAGTAGCAAGTATAAAGCTACCTCAACACCGGAGAAACCTTCTTATAAAACGCACATGACCCTCACTATATACGATCTCCAGGTAAGTCGGTAATTTTCACGTATCTCGTTGCGGTTTTTTTTCTTTATGCAAATATCCTCCTGTGTTCTTCCAACTAGAAATATTTTTCATTATCTTCCTTGCACGCTTTATAATTGCTTCTTGACCTAATTAATTGAGAATTATTTATTCTATTTTTTTGTGCCTTGATTAGAAATGGATTTGTTTTAAAAATAAAAATGCAACGTGTAGATAAAACAGAGAATTGTGTATCATTGCGCTTGGGGAAGGAAGCAAGCTCGCAGGAAGATAACCTCGTTACACTGTTTAATTTTTTCCCTTGTCACTTGTTTTTTCCTGTACGTTCAACCATCGAGAATAAGTCCCGCACCAATTCTCTATCTTCCTCCGTGTTTCCGGTCCTTGGAAAAAAGTGGAACAAGAAATATGCGCATTAACAGCTTGCCGGTTTCCGGTATTTGTTTTCGCGATTGTTACATTTGTAATCTTTCTGATTTTTCTGTCTGCCTAAATGATGCTATTTTTCAAATCTAAATACACTAATCGAAATATCAAATAATTAAATTTTTCAGGAAGAAGACTACGGAAGCTACAAATGTGTAGCTAAAAATCCCCGTGGTGAGACTGATGGCACCATCCGCTTATACAGTAAGTGTATTTCATTTATTTTTGGTGTCAATCTGATAAAAGCTGACGATTCACCCGGAAAATCGTGCAAACATCCAGATACCTTCAATTTAACCGGACATCTTCTTCCGTGCATCGAGTTTAATGTATGCATATGACATAAAGAGCCGGCGGAGAAATAGCCGGCCACTGTGTAAACTCGCGTGCAACCCGGCTACGAACACGTGCACGGAAACTAGCCAGGGTGATTTCGATGTGCCCGAGACGCGAAGGGTGAGAAGGAAGGGGGGGCGAAAGCGGTCTCTATTAGTATGCATCGGTTTTTCGCATTAGCGACATTCAAATGAACCAAGCGTTTAGCATAAAAGGCTACCGGCAAGAAAAAGGCTCATAAAATCCGACGAAAATTGCCGGGATTCCTCCACGATTACTGATTAACACGTTAGAGAATGTTTCGACCGAGATTACGCGATTTTTTAATTAGAAAATTAAAATTTATCCAAATAATCATTTCGCCAGTTTCAGACAGGATCAAATTAAGATTTCTGGGTCCCGAGGCTCTCAAATCATTGAGGGTTCTTTTGGTTAATATACTTTGTTCAAAAATTGAAATTTATTCTAAATGAAACTGAATAATATTTTAGGACAAATATCGAAGAGATACATATTTTAATAATTTAATGATTTAAACAGTTTCAAATAACAGTTGAGTCGAAAATTTACAAAATTATAGTGGATTTCAATGTTTGGAATTTTTTTAATTATAAAATGACGAAAAATCATTAAATGATTATCATATAATGATGATATGTAAAAATTAAAAAGGCAGGATTTGTTTTGCAACGGAAATAGGATCCAAAATTTGTAAAATTATTAGTTATTAGTCCCCTTTGCCAGTGGAAATCAAACGCGTTTAATTATTCAGCACAGCTTTCGGCGATCGGTTAATTTCTGCTCTCCGACACGTCACGTAATGATACAAAATTGTCGTTACATCGATGATGCTTCAAACTAACCAGTTAGTTAGGTATGTACATTCCTGACTGGTGTTGCCAATGTCGAGTTACTTGTCAAAGACAGTACGCCTTTCCTGGTGATCAAACGTTACCGTTGTTCGCACTGAAACAATGTCGATCGAATCGCTATACGAGCTATTGTTGTTTCCAATATTGATCTGTTTCATATTGACCTTACCGAGCAATAGGCTTAGTTGGAGAAGTAATTAGTACACTGGGGTAATTAGTCCTTTAATTGAATAGAAAGGAGTGATTTAACTGTTCCGTTCTCAAGACTTAATTCAACGATTTCTGTCATTGTACACTTGTTCTGAATGAAGAAAAATTAAACGGCTTTTAACGATAATTCGTTAAAAGCATGAGATGCTTATGTAAAAGTGGTGAGAAAATTTTAAAGAGATTTTAAGACGAGATATTTATTATGAAAGCGTCCAGTGTGAATACGCAAAAATAACTTGCCACGAAGAAAGGGTGGAATAAAATGGGGGTAAATATAGTGGTCTGTTATACCAGAGGGAAATTCTCAGCGTGTTCCCGGGGAAAATTGCTTTCTAATTGGCGAGATTTTTAAAAAGTCACACAATAGCTCAGAGAGTTTTTGCTCCTGGACACGAATATTACTTACTAATTGGTTGCTTTCATGGAACAAAGGGGGATAAAGGTATTATTCCTAACTTCTCCAAACACCGTTCTTGATTATTCCAAATTTCAAACTCTCCGATTCTTTTTTTTTTTTTTTAATCGAATGATTTGTTCGTTCAATTCTCTTTTTTTCATTATCAAAATTCTACCCTGCAACATCCGTCCTCGGTTTCTCGTTTAGATCGATGCAGCTGCTCACAACATACCAGTACAAAGAGATACCAGGACTCAAAAGGAATTCGAATTCGTTCCCGAGTAAAATAACCTCGCGGTGGTCCAGGGTGGTCCCAAAAGACTCGAACGATACAAGAAAAAGGGACGAAACTCGGAAGGAAGGTAAAAGGAAGAATAGAAAAAGACAAAGCGGAAAGGTTCGAGTGGAGGGAGCCGAAATTAAGTGGTAGAAGTCAGAGATATGTCAGACGAGTTTTATTAAGCGGCATAAAAAAGAGATTTGTAGTCTGACCGAGGGGTGAGATCGTCGGGGTTGCTTCTGCCATGGCCAAGGGTAAGTTTGCTCGATCTTGGTGGGGGATGAACAGATGGAGAAGGGGTTGGACATAGAACAGGAGGTCGTAGAGATATGAATTTATTATTAAGGATCGCCTAAGGGCCAAAGTACCCCTGTTTCTTGATAAGCAACCGTTCCACTCCCTCACAAGGGTGATCCCTCGCTTTCTTTTTTCTTCTGATGCACAACCATCCCTTTCCATCGTACGATGGAAAAGCTGGAGCACGGCTAATTTATTCCATAGTCGAGTCAAACTGCTATTTGTGAGGGTTGTCGGAAGGTAGGTGGGTCGGGTAGGAAGAAAGGGGTGGTACAGGGTGAAGGGACAAAAGTTGCTGGCGTTCCGTGGGTAGCAACAATATCGTATTCATTCGGGTGTTCGCTTCTTCTTCTTCTTCTTCTTCTTCGTCTTCATCCGGTTTTCCTCAGACTTGGAGCTTCCTATACATAATGCAACACTTTTTCCTCTTTACCCTCCCCCCCAATTCAGACGAGAATTTAATTGTCGGTCGTTACGCAGCCTTTCTATAAGCATTTATGACGTTTATTCATCTGCCTCGTTTTTCTTCTGATTAATTGTGCGAAGTTGCGTTTCGAGGATGCTGGAAACTTCACCTGCTAGGGGTTGCTTCTGCGATTCTTCGAAACTTTTCTTTTACTTTCGTTTCACATTATTTTGAGTTAGAAATAATCCCCTTTGAACGTAGAGCCTTTTTTTGTTTTAGGACAAAATTTCATAGCTTCTCTCCGGATTTAATTGACGTTTCAGGAATTGTTTTCTGAACGTTATGAAAAAGATCAAAAACTCGGTACGAGTTCGGTTCCCATCGCGAATTCATCCGTTTGTCTTTGTCCTGACGAGACGGTTTATTAATTCGGAATAGAACAAGAATGAATCAACCCTCTATGGATTTAATCTCATCATTTGATATTAAAGAAATAATACTTCGTTATTAAAAATTTCGTATTCTGTTCCCATTTCTAGTCGCGTTTATAGCCCGTATTCGCACAGAGGAATCACACAAACGGTCGACACGATCAATGTCACTTATAATATTGATCAGCGAACGAGGTGGATGGAAACAATACCCTAATCAGTTGAAATCGAGATCCATCGTCAAGGAGTGTTTCGTTTGATGTACTGATACGAACATCCTAATAGGTACGTATTCGCGGTGTATAATGGGTATTAATTACGCGCAATAATTATGCTAATTGAAAGGTGACATCGTGGGAAACGCACTCGCGTTCGTGCTGAACTTTTTCCGAGCTCGTTTTCAAATAATTTAACGCGCGTCGCGATAGAATTATTCAGTCGATCTCGCGGAGGGGGAGGCTTTCGATTAATCGAAGGAAAACACGGGGCGGTTATCGGTCGTTTTAGAAATTTACCGGAAGTTTCGACCGAGATTTTCATTCCGGCAGGAGGATCCCGCTAATGAATTCTTTGCCGCGATGCGCGGCGCAAACAGCTTCCTCCCCGGCGGCTCTTTCGCGGCACGATATCGAAGTTCCCGGCCACGGGGCTTTAATTACGAATTGATCAGGACTTGCCGCAAACTTGCCAGACAGGGACGATGACGTCGGGGCTATCCTCTTTTGTACAGAACTCCGTGGAAGTGTAAAAATTTGTTCTAACTAACAGCACGGGACGAAAGTTTCTGCGGCGAAAACGGTTTTCCAAACTTTCACTCCTCCGACCGTATTATTTAATTATTTACTTTATTATACACCCCGTGGAATTCGTCGCTTCCGTATTATGGACGTTCAGTTTATTAGAGGAAAGGATGGTAATGTGACCTCCTTTAAAATCTGATTCGTAACTTAAACTTTAAATATTTGACTAAAATGTACTGAGTACGTTACAGTTGAGTGGTTTTGGTTTCGGTGGTACGCATTTATAAAAAGGATCTCGTTGCGCTAGTTGTTTTTATTGTAATATGTAAAATCACGATGGAGATACATTATCTATTACCTTTTCCTCTACATATCTAGGAAGCTTTTTAATTCGTTACCGCCTTTATTATACGCGTTTCAACCCTCATTTCAAGATCATACTGATGAATTGATTTGGAATACCAAAGAGGATTGCGTAGTAAATTAATTACTCGCCTCTTTCAGAAGTTTCCCTGGCTTTAACGATGAATCGTTTATAGGGGACAGCGTGTCGCTAATTGGGAAAACTGTCGTTCGAATTGATCCCGATTAGGAGAAATCGGATTTAAGCTTTAATTAAAGCTTAGAACGAAATTTTCATTCTGCCGGAAGAACGATACTCTTCCTTTTTAATTAACTCTCGAATTTTTCAAGGAGTATTCGAATATATGTTTTAAAGAATGTGCATGTACTTTTCATCCGGCACGACTGTTCCTTTCTTCGTCTGGTTTTTCGTGTGTTTAGCGTGCAAATTACACTGGGTACTTTTTTTAATAGGTGCACGCTTCCTCGCGTTTGAATTAATTGCGGACCACGAACACTGCCTTCGTTAGTGCGGCGGAAAGTAAATTCGTTAAATATCTCGTTCTCAAGGCAACCTTGTTGGTCCACCGCAAAATGTACGAGCACCTGTGTTTTTTCTACTCATAGAATTAATGTAAATTGACGCAGACGCTTCGATGGAATATTTCTATTCCTCCAAAGCGCAAAGTGGAAGGACAAAGGTATACCGGAAGCATCCGTCTGGATGGCTCAATAAAGATCAATTCAAGTAATACCCGAAGAGACTCGGTGCATCGTCGGAACAACCGTTCCAGAAAGCGCTAGCTATTTACAAGCCCGTAGCTCGGTGCATCGGTACAAGCCGATAAACCACCCACTGACGTACACAGCTCGTAAATTCAGCGAGCTATTGT